ACCATCATTATATAGTGTGAAACAGCATCACCATCGTATAACACTGAGGAGAGAACATCACACCAGTATATATTGGGGAGGGCATCACCACATTATATAGTGAGGGAGGAGCATCACCGCCATTATATATAGTGAGGGAGGGGGAGCATCACCACCATTATACTAGTGGGAGGAACATCACCATCATTTTATAGTAGGGAGAATGCCATCGTATATTGAGGAGGAGCATCACCCTCATTATATAGTGAGGAGGGAACTTTCACCCTCATTATATAGTGAGGAGAACGCATCACCACCATTATATATAGTAGGGAGGAGCATCTATCATTATATACTGGGGAGGGAGCATCACCATCATTATATTGTGAGGAGGAGCATCACCATCATTATATTGTGAGGAGGGAGCATCACCTACCATTATATAGTGAGGAGAACATCACCTGTTGGAGAACATCACCACCATTATACAGTGAGGGAGGAGCATCTACATCATTATATAGTGAGGAGGGAGCATATATATAGTGAGGGAGAGACATCACACCCATTACTATAGTGAGGGAGACATCACCATCATTATATAGTGAGGGAGGAGCATCACCATTCTCCACAGTAATTGAGGAGGAGCATCACCATCATTATATAATTGAGGAGGCTTATCACCACCGATATATATAGTGAGGGAGGAGCATCACCACCATTATATGAGTGAGGAGGGCATCACCACCATTATATAGTGAGGAAGGTATCACCACCATTATATAGTGAGGACATCACCGTATTATATAGTGAGGGAGGGGCATCTTACCTTATATATATTTGAGGAGAGGGGCATCACCACCATAAAGGGAGAATACCATTATAGTGAGGGAGGGAGCATCACCACCATTATATAGTGAGGGAGGGAGCATCACCACCATTATATAGTGAGGGAGGGAGCATCACCACCATTATATAGTGAGGGAGGGAGCATCACCATCATTATATACTGAGGGAGGGAGCATCACCACCATTATATAGTGAGGGAGGGAGCATCACCACCATTATATAGTGAGGGAGGCAGCATGATAGTATAGTGAGGTTATGAGTGTTGGTCATGAGAACTGTCATGCGTCGTCTTGTGTCAGGCCTCACTGCCTCAGTTGTCGCCCTTGAAGGCTCTCATGGTCGTAAGGCCTCGAAGCTCAACTTGGAGGTCACGGCGGTAAATTCATGTTACAATTTGTTGAAATTTACAGACTTGTATTATAATTTCTCGTCAACAAACTCTACCATTATATGATATCCAAAGATTACAGACTTAGTTACAACAGCTATTATCCTACATTGTTCTATGATATTAAATGATTAAACTCCCATTGTCTCAGAGATGAATACAGTATAGTGTTTGTATCAGATCATATAATGTATATGTTAAAGCTGTAGTGATTCCTTAACATGGCAGTAAGTGTCTGTATTGTGTTACCTGTACTGGCTAACTTAATTACAGAGTGTAGGTGTACTGTTCGGGGTAGGTTACAGCAGTGAGCGGCTGGCAGGGACATTACTGAAACAGGTGGCCAGACTCGCTCTCACTCTGGTTCACAGCAAACGGGTCACCGCCTCTGAACATTATTGGAACAGATGGCAGACTTGTCCAGACAACAAGTTTACTTTTACTCGTACCTCTCTGATGATGATGGTGTTGATATCTTCGCCTTGCTCTCTCTCTCTCGTATGTCACCCAGGCTGGGAGTCGTTGGCCACCTTCGTCAGGGTAAAGGTCACTCGCCCCACCTACTCATGTACTTCGACTGGTTCTGGTTTTGTCATTTATCAGTTTACTTGTGTTGATTTTGTCGGTATTGTCTCTGTAAATTTCCTCTGTTCATATATGTGATTAAACAGATTTTTCAGTCAGCTGTTGCGTGTCAGCTCTGTCGTTTGCTATCAAGAAGATGGCTATAGGGAGCTGGTAAATGACCTCTCAAAGCCGCCATAAACGTTAGCCTGACCTTATTATCTAAACTATATGATCAACACCCTGAGCTCTCAGTATTTATTTCACTGCATCCTGTACAACTAGTTGGCAAATAAGAGTCTGACCGAGCTGCAGTACTAAGTGGCATCCCGCAAGGTAGTATATTAGGTCCTATCCTGTTCATTGTATACATCACTGATTTGCCTGATTGTATCCTGTCGTGTGCAACTCCTCGCTGACGATACTAACATTTTCCGGCGTATCCAGTCTGCACAAGTCAAGACCAAATTCACCTTCAAGTGGATCTGTACATCGTCTAGAAGTAGTCAAGTACAAGGCTACTCAGGCTACTCCATCTTCACCCAGATAACTGTAATGTTTTGTTTATTAATGAACTGAATAAATTGAATTAAATGGAAGAGAAAAAGTAAAAGACTTGAGTGTGATGGTTGGCAGTAAATTAGTGTCTGGAGATTATAAATATATAGAGTCAAGTTGAAGATAACGAGCTTAACTGAATATTGACCTTCAAAAGACGACTACAACAGGATAAACATTAGTCATATCAAGATGCAGTGTACAATAACAAAGGTTCTGTGTTAATGTCATAGCCTCACCGATCACCCCTGCTTTAAGCCCTGCCATTGTCACTCACTTTAACGAAGATCTGGTCACACAAGCTTGACCCCATACAACCAGAATGAATATAATTATCATACAGAAATACGGAGGAAAACAAAATTCTGTGTATGTTACCTGTAAATTAAAAATGTAACCTGTATATACTCAACGAAGGTCAAACATTAATAACAACCGCAATAAATCAGTGTTATATAAAAAAAACACAATTTTGTATTCATCCAAGTTGTATGTTTATGTGTGTAACTGAACTTTAATGGCTTATAATATATACAATAATACACTAAGGTTGTATTAAAGATAAACTGTGATAAAAATATGATACGTCTTTCCGTCTCTCTGTGTATAAAATAATTTCCTGTTTTCTTTCATTCCTTTTGTTATTTTTCCTTTCATTTCAACACATTCTCTCTCTATCTCCATCTTCTCATCTCCTGGGTTTCCTCTCACACCTTATTTCTCTCTCTCTCCATTTCATCTTATCCTCGTCTCCTCTATTTCCTACCTCGCTTTCTTCTCGTCTTCTCCATTTCCCATCGTGTTTCTTCTCTTGTTTCCGCCCACACACACACACACACGGTTGTTCTGTCACTCGTGTTGGCTGATGCAGGATAATAAACGTGATGTAGGAGGAGGAGGAGGAGGAGGAGGAGTGGGAAGAATAAAGAGTAGAAGTAAGAAGAGGAGGAGGAGTAGGGAGAAGAGGAGATGGTGGAGGAAGAAGAAGACGATGATGACGAGGAGAAAGAGGGCGAAGCAGAGAAGAAAAGAAGAAGAGGAGGAGGAAGAAGAAGAAAAGAAGAAGAGGAGGAGGAGGAAGAGCAGGAGGACCCTTACTGCTCTCCCGCACCTTCAGGATATTACTGCCTTATCTCTCCAGGGTGTTGCTGCCTTCTCCCCGTCTCTTATCTCTCACCCCTCTCACTGCCCCCCCCCCTCATTCCTTGTCGTCCTCCAACTGTTGTCCTCCGGCTGTTGTCCACTGGCCGTGTTGTCCTCCGACTGTGTTGTCCTCCGACTGCCGTGTTGTCCTCCGGCCGTGTTGTCCTCCGCTGTGTGTCCTCCGTGTTGTCCTCCGTGTCCTCCGGCTGTTGTCCTCCGGCCGTGTTGTCCTCCGTGTTGTCCTCCGACTGTGTCCTCCTGTTGTCCTCCGACTGTGTTGTCCTCCAACTGTTGTCCTCCGACTGTGTTGTCCTCCGGCCGTGGTGTCCTCCGGCCGTGTTGTCCTCCGACTGTGTTGTCCTCCGGCCGTGTTGTCCTCCAACCAAGGTCCTCCGGCTGCAGCGTGTCCTCCGGGTCGTGGTGTCCTCCGGCCGTGTTGTCCTCCAACTGTTGTCCTCCGCCCGTGTTGTCCTCCGACTGTGTTGTCCTCCAACTGTTGTCCTCCTACTGTGTTGTCCTCCAACTGTTGTCCTCCGGCCGTGTTCTAACACTAGGGTGAAATACTACACATTTGGTTTCTACAGAATACCAGGACTTACGGTCAGAATGTTCTTGTATTCTCGTACATTGTGTGTGAATGAACGGAAATTCCACACGGTTGAGGGAAACACGATGTGATTTTACCTGTGTGTGTGTGTGTGTGTGTGTGTGTGTGTGTGTGTGAGTGACTTTGGTCTATGTTTCTGTTCAGTTAAATTATTGTTGTGTAAAAAGGTGTAAAATTTACATCTTTTTACACCACTGTAGATGGTCGGTACACCTTGCTGGCCCGGGTGTAGCAGAGAGCCAGCCAGGGTGATGGTGGCTTAGTGGATTGTCGTGTAGCCCGCCACTCTGGGCTCTGGCTGCTGGTAAACACATTGAAAGGACCGAGAGTGAAACATGTCCAGAGTGCCACCCATGGTCAGAGTGCCACCCATGGTCAGAGTGCCACCCATGGACCAGCCTACAGAGGAAAGTATCGGTAAAAGAGACATAACTGTTTTTTTTTGGTATTTGATGATGAATTTATTTAAGACTAACTTACGTACGAAATATAGTGTTACTTACATAGTCGTCATGATATATGGAACAGTGTGTGTGTGTGTGTGTGTGTTGTAGCAGACGATCCCTGGTGTCTTGAAGCCGCCAGTGTTGGTCATCGTCTGGTAGAGCGTCAAGGGAGTCATATTTATCAACACTAACAGCTTATAGCCCAGTATACAGTGACATTTTTCTGGAAGTAAGTGAGAGAGAGAGAGAGAGAGAGAGAGAGAGAGAGAGAGAGAGAGAGAGTAACGTATGTGTCGGAGCTAGACGCTGGCCGCTGCACTTGCCAAGCTAACACTAATTGTGAGGCCATATAACCCACGTTTTAACCTGTTTATGACACAGCCTCTTACACGCTGCGTCTGTTTACACACAGTAAGGGTCAAACAAGCCATAACAGTTACTAATTATGTTTTGTTTCGTTTCTTTACAGAAATTGTGCAAGGTGAGGGTGGAGCTTGTTAACCCGGTAGCGGCATCCTACTAGCGCCTGACTCACAACGGCTCCTGGCTAACACTGCTGCCCGCCGCCGACACCTGCCGCCCCGCCCCGCTGCCTCACCTGCCCAGCAACCTACCCTCTTATCCTCCCCAAGTCTCCTTATCCTTCCCTAGTCACCCTTACCCTCCCCTAGGGCACCCTTACCTTACCTTATCTTAAGCTTCCCAACTTATATCAAATTCGTCCCAGGTCCCAGGTCATTCTTACTCTATTGAAAAGTATCCTCACTTTCTTCTATTAAATTTCCTCTCATCACACCACAAGGACTCTCCCGAGGTCCCCCATACTGTCCCCAGACGTCCCTTACTCTTCATGGACCTCCCTTGATGGACTGATCAGATGGGCGACAGTCCAAGTACTCCCAAACCCGCACCATTAGGATTGGGGTTTAATTCTAATGGTACCGTGTGTCCTAATCCCAGTGCATCCCGAGATTATATTTATTAGGGTTGGGGTATATTGTGTCAGCGGCCTTTTTGACCTCCAGCTCCGTTCTTTACCATTTATTTGACCACTGTGACCTTGTCTATCCCTGACCAGCCTGATAGTCATCATTTTGAGGATTCTAAACCAATCACCCTCCCTCCCCCTCCCTATCCCTTACTCTCCTGCTTTTCCAGACTGCCCTGTTCTTCTTTCCCATACCTCCCCAGGTTCACCAAGGGTAGTGGACCTGATCCAACTCACCCCTAACCTCCAGCCACCCTCCATATCCTACCTTAATGACTTACCTTAACGCGGGAGCTTCCGCTAACACTGCCCTCTACTACTTACTATTAATAAATAACTTCCATTAAATGGTAATGATGAACACATATATCCTAATTATACTATAAACACTTATTAGTATATCAAGGGTAAGGATAATAGGCTTGGCATAGAGGCAGACTCACAATCCTTCATCGTGACTGGAGGAGGTACAGAAGGTGGGTCTTCTGCTATAACCACTTCCTCAATCCCCTGCCTCGAATTCAATGGCTGGTTAAAGAAGCTCTGGTCTTGATATACTTTAACCTAACCATTAAGACAGGAGGTAAGTCCCTGTCCTTATTAACCAAACTAATGGTTATGTTGGGTGTCTATTTAAGACCAAGGACCACTTAACTTACAACAAGAAACAACTGCAGAATATAAGTGACTTGATCGTTTAAATGTTGATGTTAAGTGTAAGTAAATCTTTCACATGGCTTCTGTAAACAATGAAGATGTATATTCTACTTTCGATAAATATGTCTTTCTGTAACTCTTATTCTAAAAAAATCAACAGATAAACAAAATAATCGATTTAATAACTTAATAATTATAACAAAATTATTCAGGTGTATTAATTATCACCATCACTACATGAACGTCTTGGTGTTGACAGTGTATCAGGTGTAAGCTACACAGGGTCACACCAGCTAAGTGTACCCATGGTTTGTGATCGTTGTACAATTCTCCCACTCTTACCCTGACCTCTTAAAGGTCACGGCACCACTGTACTGTCAAGTCTGATTACTGATGTTGCTAAAGAAATTGGTCAACATTAAGAGAAAAATTTATTCTAAAAAACACATAAATGACCTCAGGTGATAGCGATAATTAATGAGTTATTCTCGTAATTATAATGATCCACAATTAGTTCTTCAGACACCTGCTAATAGAGGAATCAATGAAAGACTCGATTTAAGATGTGATAAGCATATATTAATGTAGAGTATAGATTCAGAGGTTCATATAAATTGATATACATGTGTGGATTTTGAAAGAGCATTTGGTATAGAGTAAAACGCAGTAAACTTATAGACGTATTAGTGAAGTGGGCGTTAATGACGTCTTGTTGGGCTTAAGTTAGACAGGGAGTAAGACAAGGTTGCTTACTGTCTCCATCTCTGTTTAACATTTACAACCTAAGTGTAAACAGTGATGATGGAAATGACAAAAATATTCTTATTCTTTTGTTGTGTTATGTGTTAATGGTAAAATAATATCAGTATTCAACATGTAGATAATACTGATTCTTCATGTTGACACTCAAGAGGCTTTACAAAAATAGGAAAAATGCGAAGAGAAGGGAGGTAAGAGTTAATGCTGTAAATAAAAAATATGGAAATCCTAAAATGAAAATTATGGTAGACAAAAGGGAAAAATAAACATTGTATTTGAGAAGTACTGTTGTGGTAGCTTTAGTCACAAGGTAGGGGACTTGCCTGGCCAACTCCCCTATACTCAACTATATAGGCTAACTAGCCCCTCATAGTTCAAAAAGCTGTAAGAGTGTGTCAGTACATAATGGTCACCTCCCCTCCATGCCAAGACTTCCACGGAGCCTCCCAGTGATGAGCCGTGTAAACTGGACCTCATCCTGACATCGGCTAAACTACAGACGATCTCGGAGCAGGTTTGAGACTTAGAGGAGCAGGGATCATAGCGTGTGGAGGTACCCTGATAATCAAAAAAAACCTTGGCAGGGAGTTCAACCTAAGAGGGGTATCTTCAGCGCCAATAGCCACCACTGCTGCCTTATGGGTACCTACGCAGGAAGGAAAGGTTCATGGAAGGATAAACCTGGACGACAAACCCACCACATGAGTGAGGAGAGGCAGCACCATGGACGATGATTACAGAAGCTGATATAATGCCACACCACAGACAAGGAATCATAACAGAGAGACACCTACTGTATGGTCGACTAATCTCAATGTGGCGTCGATGACAGGAGGGAGAATAGAGATGATGAAGAAGAGAAATCTGGCAGAAGAGAGAGAAAGAACACTAGAAGCTGGAGTGAAAGATTAAATGTCAAAAACTAAGACAAAAAGGAGAGAAATGAATAACTACAGTGTGGTTATTGATCAAAAGAGAGGATGTGGGTATACTGCCTGGGGTTAGAAGCTCACAAGAGGAGAAAGAAGCATTAAGAGATAGCAATCATTGGGGGTAATGACTGGAACGCCTATGTGAGAATGAGTCAGGTTGGAGATGACGAATCAATGGGTGATTCTAGTAAGGGCATGAAGCGTGTAGGTAGTAGTAAACATCTTTTAAAAACGGGAACCAAACAGTATACTAAAAGGTAAGGGTTGGACTGGGAATAATCTTGTAATTGTTAAGTACAGAAGTGATGAAGGGAGAGACAATGGAAGCTGTCGAGGGGAACACAGTGCACCCCAGCTTAAGCCATGAGTGTCTGAATCAGCTTAAAGAGGGAGAACCTTGATCAAATGTAAACAGAAGAGTAATTAGGTGAGAAGTGTAGTGACGTGAGGGAGAGGTACAGGGAGGAAGTGAGGGAGGAAGTGTAGGTGAAGTGAGGAGAGGACAGTGAGGGAGAGGTGTAGGGAAGAAGTGAGAAGAAGACAGTGAGGGAGGAAGTGAGAAGAGGACAGTGAGGGAGAGGTTTAGGGAGAGGTTTAGGGAGGAAGTGAGGAGAGGACAGTGAGGGAGAGGTGTAGGGAAGGAGTGAGGAGAAGAGAGGGAGAAAGGGAGGACAGAGTGGAGATTGAGAATGAAAAGTCAACAGCAACAACATTCAAGGAAGAATTTGTAGGCACGGGTAAAGTATGTAGCCAAATATCAGGAAAAGTCATGAAAAGTAAAAATAAACAACAATGGAACACGGAAGAAGAGCTAGCAAGTAAATAGAGAAGGGAAGTAAGGAAGAAATAGCAGCAATGAGACAGAGATATAAAGAGAGAGAGAGAGAGAGAGAGAGAAATAATGCAACAGAGGAGGCAGTAAACGTAGTAAGAGTATGAGATATAAAGAGAAATCCGAGAAAGGTTCAAGGAAGACGAAAATAAACCCCAAACATCATCTATAAAGAACAATGATAAGGTAATTATTTCAGGAATGAGAGAGAGATGATTGGAGTTTGGAAGGAACATTCTAAAGACCTTACGAACTACCAGAGGCCAAAGGAGAGAAATACATACAGAGGGAAGAAGAGACAAACGAAAATAACAAGAGATGAAGTGGAGAGACATTTAAGAAGATGAAGAGTAGAAAGAAAACTGAGGCAGATGAATTGGTGGAGTGAATGATGCAAGCAGCTGGGTAATACAAGAGTTGAGTGGTGCAGGAGGCTGAAGATTTAGCAAGATGTAAAGGTATCATCTTATACTCAGCCAGGCAGTGTTGGTTGTGGATCTTAGATGTGAGAATTAGTAAGGTTGTAGAGCAGAGGATAGCAGAGAGAGCCAACAGGGAAAGGTGTTCAGGTGATGGGCTATTCAAAAGTGTTCGTATAGATACATCAGGTTGCTCTCAGACACACCTAAGTAGACCTTGAGTATATAATTGATTTTTTTTTTACCTCCGTTACATAATTTAGTGAGGGTTACTACCGGCAGGTGCCTTTAATAACAAGTACTCTTTGGAGTGCGGCGGCCGAGTGGACACTGTCCTCGCCTCCCGTCCTAAAGGTCGGTGGCTCGATCTTGGGGCACTCCTAGTCCACCCAGCTGTAAATGGGTACTTAACTTTACAAGATGGGGAAGTGGAAGCGATCGAGTGCAGTACCGACCATGGTGTCTCCTTGCATACTTAAAATTTATTATATATAGTGTGTGCTGCACCCAAACATTTCGAGCATCGTAGGAGATCGATACACTGTCTTATGACGATGAGTTCCTGTGTGTACTGCAGCAGGAGACGACGAATGCTGTGAGGACTCCATATTCTTGACGGAGGAGTAGGAGGGAGAAATCCACAATCTTCGTGTAAAGAATAATAGGAAACGAGACACAAGAACAGGAACCTCCCAAGATCGAGTAAAATAAACTGGTCCTACATTATACAGGCTTAAGACCACTAATCAAGCAATAACTGTGATACAAAGAAACAGATGAACCTCGCTCAGTTGATGTTCCTTACCTGTCAGTCTTAACATCAGGTTTGGGAAAACATGAACTTGAGACCAGAGGCGGTGGACCAGCACAGAGAGTTAGTGTGTACTACTCGGCTGCTAGTCCTCTGAAAGCTTTAAATAGGAGATAGATTAAAAAAAAAAAACATTTCAATTAACACGAGGAATGGCCATAGTGAACAGTGTAATAAGTTAACAGCAGCCACAAAGAGGCAAACAAATTATCGGTAAGTTGAAGTGTTCTTTGCTGGCCGCCATCTGACCTGACGATGGTAAACTGTGTAGTGATATGAGACAAAATACCTCAGGTATAGTAAACCGAGAAGATTCTAAATTGTTCTTCTCGTATTTAAGAACGATGAAAACTGTTGTAAACTATAACTAAAGTAACCAATATCGTAGTGGCGCCACAGAGAACAGCTTAAGATCTCGTAGGGGAAACTATCGTGTTATGATGTATTACTGTGCTTTAACAACTGACTTTAATACGATTAGGCCAGGTTAGTACATACACTAGCTATCAACAGGTGAATATTAAAAGGTCTACTGTATAGCTCTTTTGGTATTCAAGTACCTGTATGTTGTCGTAGTGAGATAATGATTAATTGACGATCACTTCAAAGATTACTTATTATTATTTATGTCAAGTGAAGTGTTTTAAACTAGTGTATCCATATAATTTTATTGCTTATTTTCACGTGAATTATTTTGCTATATTTTTTATTTTTTGCTTTAGATGATTCAGTTGATGAGGTTAAAATCTACGGATGGACAAACCTCAATGATGTAAATATATATTTCTGCCTCAGTGATGATCATTGGAAGTGAATACTACTGATAAACTGTAAGATACACAGGAACACCACCAACACTGACTTACACCCTCCTCCCTCCTCTCAACACTGTCTTCCTGGTGTTGGATTCTGTTGAAATTCAGGATCTAATTAACTTGAAGGATTTAATCTCCTTCGACAAACGTAAACATCCTCGAACCTCAACTCTTGATCAGAAATTTGGCTCTTGAACAAATACAAACAAGAAAGAAGTTATTTCGCTTTTTTTTTCCTCATGACTTGTCCAGTTATGTATGAGGACAGAATATTGTAACCGACCTAACACAGATTCTAGTGTCAGTGATATATCAGTGTTATATCGCTGTGTGCCTTATTACCGTAGCTTATCGTCTGCCTTATACTGTGTCCTAATACTATACATCATCACCCCAGTGTATTATTTAACGAACATAAATAAATTGAGGAACAAAAAATACGTCTATTACAGGATTTCCCTTATAAATTATAGTTATTAACAACATTACTCTTGTGTAGTGATCACATTACCGTGGATTACATGTTGACTTGTCCACCCCGTACGACCTGCCATTGTTTACGTGAAAATTACTGCTATTTACGAACCATTTTTACAAGATAATTCCGAAATTTATTTGTTATAGGCGCTTAGGATGGCAGTGTCAATATGTTTCGTCTTGGTACTGTGTTTGGTTATGTCATGGGGTCCTTGTCAAGGGCTTGGTAAATATTGTTAAGAAGATCAGCACACGTGAACGATTGGGTCTTTGTGTTGGCTACTCCACGTCTTAATGCCAACTGATGATTAAACATACGATTTATTCCGTGCTGTGTGCGGGGAACAAATATGCGTTAAGATATGAGTAGCAAAGAGAAAATAGGAACAGATTCTCTTCATACACGAATTAACACAAGGAACATACATACTGTACATACACACTGTACATACATATATAAAATATAATAATATAATGGTTGCCCCTCGTGTAACGAGGATGGCCGGCCTAGGGCCACCTTGGCGTGAATTTGTTTAAGGTATAGAAGCTGTCGCCAACACAACCACCACACCCTGAGTTAACGAGTTGCATGACCCGGTGTCAAGGAATAGTCCGAGAAGACCGGACAGCTCGCCAACTGCACTGGCTAACCATTACCCCGGAATACGATCCGCAAATCGATTAACATTCAGGCTCCCAATTACTGCTGGGTAGACAGAGGCAAATGGCGTAAAAAAACTTGCCCTTAGTTTCACCCTGCCCGGGGATCGAACCCGGTTTTACTCGCTTTCGAGGAAAGCATGCTGACCATTACACCACAGGTCGTCATACATACATACATCAGAAGATTTAATACATGAGGCTACTCTTCAATACTGTATCTTCTAAGGTTACGTTTGTATTTTACTCACATATTGAAAACAGTGTGACCAGACCAAGCCACAGTACCTAGGTGAGCTACAGTGACTGATGGAGAGAAGGTGTGAAATTGCTTCTAGTTTTTTGACTCGGTGTTGGATGAGAATTAATCTACCCAAATCACAGTACTTATACATTTTCTTCACTATGGACTTATATCAAGGTCGTAAGATGGAGATACAGGGAGGTGGATCACATTGGTTGTCCTCACTACTCAACCCTGATTTAGTCATAACCGAGTGACCATCCTTGTGGGTCTTGAATCTCATTAAATACTAAGGAACATTTAACTGTATATTACGACACATAAATATTCCCATCGCTCATTATATTTACGTAATTTTAGTAAGTTTTTAATTTTTTTTACCTTATTAAGCATTCAGTAACAGGATATCTTTCACATGATAGTACGGCATCAGGATCTTGGCATGGGTGAATGTATGGAGTGTTAGAGTATTGTAGTTACACACATTTACCTCACTAAACCTCAATGTTATAATCTATAATACTTCTGAACACCACTGTATTATATTATTAAAGGATACCGGCATAGAATAGTTGCTACCATTTCCAAAAAAAAAAAACACGACAGTACAATAAATTATCCCCAAAATAAATAATTCACAGATAATTTGCTAACTTTTTCAGATCACTATAAATGGCTTTTGTTTTGTTTTTATTAACACCTGGTTGAGATGAATGATTTAACAATATATTATTTTTTTCTCGTGATGTAGATGGAGAGTGTCCAGCATGCAGCCCTGTGGAGACGTATGAGAATATTCTGGACAACTACTGCAGGGCTGACCTAGGTAAGACCAAGACCTCACCTTAAGAACACGATTTGACTGAGATGTGAGTGACATTGACCCCTTATAGATGACCTTACGATACAACAATAGAGTCTCTTGTTATTTTGAGCTGTGACCTTATGACCTCATGATGTTTTGACTGAATTGTGAGCGACCTTGACCCCTCATAGATGACCTTACGGTGTTTTGACCTTGACTATGTAGAACTTTTAGAACTTAATTGTTTTAGGCAAGTGATATAGTGAAATGTTCGTGTCCAGGAAAAAGTAGTAAGATATGTAGGGTGAGTGTTACAAGGAGAAAGCGAGAGGGTCAAGGTGAAAGTGAGAGGGTCAAGGGGAAAGTGAGAGGATCAAGGTGAAAGTGAGAGGGTCAAGGGGAAAGTGAGAGGGTTAAGGGGAAAGTGAGAGGGTCAAGGGGAAAGTGAGAGGGTCAAGGTGAAAGTGAGAGATACAAGGGGAAAGTGAGAGGGTCAAGGTGAAAGTGAGAGGGTCAAGGTGAAAGTGAGAGATGCAAGGGGAAAGTGAGAGGGTCAAGGTGAAAGTGAGAGGGTCAAGGTGAAAGTGAGAGGGTCAAGGGGAAAGTGAGAGGGTCAAGGGGGAAAGTGAGAGAACCAAGGGGAAGGTGAGAGATGCAAGGGGAAAGTGAGAGGGTCAAGGTGAAAGTGAGAGGGTCAAGGTGAAAGTGAGAGGGTCAAGGGGGAAAGTGAGAGGGTCAAGGGGAAAGTGAGAGGGTCAAGGGAAAAGTGAGAGGGTCAAGGTGAAAGTAAGAGGGTCAAGGTGAAAGAGAGAGGGTCAAGGGGAAAGTGAGAGATCAAGGGGAAAGTAGAGGTCAAGGGTCAAGGTGGTGAGAGGGGTCAAGGTGAAAGTGAGAGGGTCAAGGGGAAAGTGAGAGAAGGGAAAGAGAGGTCAAGGTGAAAGTCAAGAGAGGAGCCCAAGGTGCAAGGTCATGCAAGGGGAAAGTGAGAGGTCAAGGTGAATGAGAGGGTCAAGGTGAAAGTGAGAGGGTCAAGGGGAAAGTGAGAGGGTCAAGGGGAAAGTGAATCCAAGGGAAGGTGAGAGATGCAAGGGGAAAGTGAAGGTGAAAGTGAGAGGGTCAAGGGGAAAGTGAGAGGGTCAAGGGGAAAGTGAGAGGGTCAAGGTGAAAGTAAGAGGGTCAAGGTGAAAGAGAGAGGGTCAAGGGGAAAGTGAGAGAGTAAGATATTTACCTGTGCATTTGTATTCAGATTTGTATGATAGATCTATATACATTACTTCAGTTTGTTCAGGGGATAATAATTTCAGTGCTTATATTTAATCCTTTGAGTACGATGACTTTAATGCCTTACAGTACAATGTTATCGTACTCACGGTAATAAGTCATCGTACTCAAGGGGTTAAGACATTGTACATACATAATGGGTTAAATCATTGTACGTACTCAAGGGGTGACGATATTTTGATCAGGGATGAAAATTCATAGTACTCAGGGCACTGGAATCGCACCTAAGGATTTAAAGCAAGATTTCCATGTTATGTGTTAATGCAATTGATGTTAGTATCTTGATGTTGTGTATTGGTGCAAATGATGTTAGTAACTTGATGTTTATGTGTTAATGCAATTGATGTTAGTATCTTGATGTGCATTTGTTTTCCACAGTCGTTAAAACACGGGTGAAGAAACAGCGCAGATCACAGCTGGTGGTGAAGAAGTCTCGACGTGTGTACAAGAGCAAGCCTTTGGAGGAAGACAGAAGAGCTATAAGACGCCTTCGTTTTTCCCTGACAGAGGAAGCCAACTGTTGCACCATCCCCGCCTCTAGGAAGCCTTACCTCATAATGGCTCGCCGCGAAGGAGCAGTATTTATACCTACGTTCGTCATGCCCTTCAAGAAATCAAAGGCAAGTTATAGAGAAGGTCTTGATCCCCTTTTGTCAGAATTCTCTTCACAAGGGGAGGACTAATTATACTGGATATTAACAAGCTTTAAAACATGAGTAAATTTGAGGAGTTAGTAAGGAAAGGGAAGGGGGGGGGGAGGCTGAGTGCCTTAGAGTTACTTTTAATCATCATTGATCACGTTAAGGACGATGGCTTAATCACTCCATGGGCTGTTGTCTTGAGTATTTCCTGGCTCTCAATATCCTCTCTCATAACGTAACCTAACAGTAAACTAACCCAAGTAACTTTAAGGTTTATCCACTATAAAACTCCCTTATCAAACGGTGCTTGGTAAAAAATCGTGTGAAGAAACCGGGGCCTTGGGGGTACTGCCTCAACGGTAAAGAAAGTGTCGATGAATCCCTAACTGAAAACCAGTGACGCCTCAGTGTTAAGACTCCGCTGATGGAACTGTGACCACATGCTTTATTTACCTGATGCTTGGAGGTTTTAAGAAGTTCTTATCCTAAATCTATTCATATATAATGAGGTTTCATTGTTCCTTGACCAAACTGAGAAGAAACAAACCATTTGAAGAGTGATAAAGTAGACCCGAGTCACTGCATCCCGTTGGTGTTGATGGATGGTGGGTGTTACTGCTTCTGACCAGTGTAGATGCTTGAAAATATCAGGTCACTCAGATATATATATATATATATATATATATATATATATATATATATATATATATATATATATATATATATATATATATATATATATATATATATATATATATATATATATATATATCAACAGGGAACTTAAACAAGTTCAAAATGTTGTGTTCAGTTTGGGGGAAGTAACATTAGCTGTGATGGTGGATGCATGCAAATACAGCATTTAATAATCTAAAAGACCAAATGAAAAGACTTTAACTTACAATGTGGAAAAAAAGGCTCCTGAAAGGTTTTATATTGCAAGGATTATTGTCAGATGCGTGAACACTTTCTGTAGACACCAGAAAGAGGTGGGACGCGTTTGAAATGTGGTGTTGTAGGGGATTGCTAAGAATGAGCTACACTGACACGAAAACAAATAAAGAAGTGCTAAGATAAGCCGAGTGGATCACAGTGTCATTTGCCAATTTTTTAAGCTTACATCTTCTATCTTACAATATTTTGGACATGTCAGCTTTCTTCATTGGTGATACATTCAGGGTCCATCTAGAACTCTTTTATTTTTCTCCTTTCAAATAAAGAATAACACAAAAATAAACGCTTTATATCACCCACAAGAAAATATAATAAGTTTGTCTTGATAGCTATATTCATGTGTAATTGTAATGTTTTTCTTTGTAATGAACATATTACAACTTCCACTAATAACATTATAATTTTTACAGCCATTGCGCAAAGCTCTAAAGGTGTTCCGACATGGCCTGAACTGCTCTGATCCCAACCTGATCACAAGTAACCTGGAACCGACATCACTACCCGGGGAGAGCCAACAAAACCCACGCCAAAGTGGCCGTCGTAAAGGCCGCAGCAAGAAGTGCCTCAAGGAATGTCGCAAAACCTGCAACAAAAGATGCAGGAAGAATCGTGGTGACATTTGCAAGAAAAACTGCAACAAAAACTGCCGCAAGAATTGTCGCTCGAACCAAAATTCTCGAGGCCGAAATAGGAAAGGTGGTTCAAATCAGAATCGGTCTCGTCCTAATGGTAACCAGAGACCTATTCCTGGTGTTCTGTCTCCCGATGACATTGCCAGTGAAATATCCAATTTTGTCCCAGCCAATTTTGATCATCCAATATCAAGCCAGGAAGGCAACCCAAATATCCAAGAGGCAGCGCATGGAGAAGAAGAATAAATGAATTTTCAGAAGAAGCGAGAAGCCATGAGATATATACTTCGGTTGTGGGGAGAGATGCAGCAGTGAAGACTAGGCTGGGTCACACCATACAACCAGTGGTGCTCAAGCTCACAGTCTGTTACTTAAGACAATGATAAGGCAAGAAGCGCAAGTACATTTCTGTTGTGTGTAATTTTATATTAATGTTCTAAGAGTAATTATTATAATACTTCAGTAAGAGGCTTGTGTGGACATTTGTGTTGCTGAAGTCCTCCCAGTTAAGGTCATTCATTCATCATTGTACTGCATCTATACTGTACTTTATGCGAGATGAAAAACCTACATTTTCGAGAATTAGAAAATGAAGTTGTGACACACACACACACACACACACACACACACACACACACACACACACACACACTTAACAAAAATTTTGGAAGAATTGGTCCAAAGTTTTGATCAGTGTAGTCAATATGTCATTAAGAATTGACCCGGTATACAGTAATTATGTTCCCTTTTCATTAGTTTGTACTAATAGAAAGATACCTGCAACACATACTAGACAACACAATATGATAATGTATTAATGGAAGTATTCAGAAGTTTATATAATAGATACTGTGCCATACCTTATTATCTTTACTCTTTTAGTATAAAACATAATTTATATAATAGGGATATGGCTGAATATACATTTTGCAAGTTTGTTAATTCCGAAGTCTGTATAGAAATTAATGAATAAACAAATGACTGATATAGCAAGTGCAAATGTCAGTGATATATACTGTTTATGATAAGTAAATCAATACATGTACATACTGAGGTACAGGTAAAGGGACCTCTTATACTTCAAGACGAAAATTCATTCTTGCATATATCATTAATAAAGAAATTTCACTCATAATTAGTAATTCCTGTCATACATTAATTACATTCGAGTCAACAGTACAGAGTTAAGCATCTTGGGTTCTCATACTCATGTTACAGCGCATTAATACAGGTTGTTCAGTAAATCACGAGGCATTGCTTCAATCTACACTTAGTTAATGAATTACTATGGTACTGTACCATCTGACTCTGTCTCTACTGTGATGCCAGAGGATTTAGCTATGATTTATTGACTGTATATGGACTGGTATATTCTCTGACATCTACATAAACTAGAATTTGATAGTTTTTTTTTTTAGGCAGGTGTATACAGTACGCTGGTCTTGTGATAGTTGTACACACAGTAGACATTTGTTAGGTACAGTAATAGTTTAGATGGAGCAAGACTACAGCTGCTGGGATATAGAGCACATCATACATTAATATACATGATAGGCTATGTATACATCATCCCCCCCCAGATAATATCCAATAGATGAAATCCTTATAAACTCCCCGTAAACCATTATTGGAACATTAACCATTGTTGTAGTTCATGTAGTGCTTCTGTGAGTACAATACTGTTTATAATGCACACTCAATGGCTTATGCACAACTGAGCACAATAATATTTATAAAATATTTGCATTTATATTTTAACAAGTTGAGGTAAGATTAATATTTACAAGACACATAGAAGTAACTATAAGGAGGATTGAGAAAGGGGGTTAATCTTGTTTAGGTAACACTCAAGTCTCCTTTACTGTGCACTGGTTTACTCACAAGGAATTCTCTCTTTATTTTTAACATATTAAATGATTAATATATAGACTAATGTACCAAAGAAAATTTTAATGTTGTCTGAGAAATTAACAAACAGACAAAAAAAACAAGATTTAATTCATTATATTATAAACATTATCAAGAAATATTCAGTTCAAAGTGTAAACAAGTATTTTTTTTCGACTTAAACTTTACTCTGGGGTTTAAATTTGAACATGTATTGTAATATTCATGGATAAGAGTTTCTTCAAGATGTTAATACAGTATTTCCTTCGAGTAAATACAGTGAGTGATTTTCTCAAGGTCAGTTGAATGGAAAATAATAAGCCATTGTTTTCTTCAGTTGGTGTACTATACAACGGTCATGTTAGAGATAAAGGGATATATTTTCAGTTACTTATAAGACCATGAGATGTTTATTAACCAATGATTTCTTGCTGACTGTCTCAAAAAAATAAAGAAAGTATTTTATGATGACCAATCAAGTGAGAAACTCCTAAGAAAATCTACCCAATGCTTTTAAGACTGTACAGGATATGTTGTCATCTGTTGGTATTAAATGTATGTTCAGTTGCAGACAAAATTCTCTGAACACTTAGCAGGTACATTAATTGGTTTATATCATACACTATGTTGGAACCACAATAAGAAAAAACATAGAATTTTAATCACCCTCACCTAATGATCCCCAAATACTAATATATCAACTGCTGAGCTTCCAGGAAATTTGACCTCAACTTTACATTCACTGTGTTATATATATCATCACTTGGTCATTCATTATAAACATAACGTATAGCCATTAGGCAACCCCATACCCCTGATAGGTAACGATTGTGTAAGTGTATGTTTTGTAATAACTGAGCATTGGTTACCTGTGGCAGCAACATCTGCTAGAATACGTACAGGTATAGGCATTCTTTATGTCTTCCTTGTGTTTAAGTCACTGCATTAGTAAATATAATGTAAATTCTTGTCATACATAAAAATAAAACACATTTTTTCCACCAGGTCACCTATGTAACTTAAAATATAGATGTATTATAATAGGTATAATTTGTACCATACTAAATACACATACATGCATCTGCTAGTCACTGTCCACTGTTCATGTAGTTGAAAAGAATTGAAAAGATTTTTTTTTTATAGAGTTCATTTAGGTATATTCTGCAGCTCATATTTGAGTTGTGTGTTATCTGTATGTTGCATAAAACTATTGAACACCAATGGTTGTTTGATATTCATCTATGATCATATACTGTATGGTACAAGTTACCTAGTGTGGTGCATGAGCTGAAATACAGTATATTCATCATAATCTACTGATCTCACTTCACTTCAGCATCAATGATCCTCATGACACAACACAGATCAACTGGAAATTAGGGACCCCAACTTATTTCACATGATCTATCTGTGATTCTTCAAAATGGGACACAAGTTCTGCAGGTGTGATAACAGGGAGATCCGTGTCTTAGAACAATCTGCCAGGGAGTGTTGTGACGGCACCGAGTGTGAGCTCATTCAGACCAGCCTTGACCAATACTGCCGCAGGTACAGATACACTATGGAACAGAGATGTGGCCAAGCGGGTAAGGAGCAGATCAGCGATGAAGAGGGTGAAGTAAATGCTGTCACGTTCTTCAGATTTTTAGTTTTATTGTATTTTATTGTACAGTGAAACAAGGCACCTGGTGTGATGCATTATCATCTCTTGTGCGATCAGGTCCCTGGCACTCAGACTGGCCAGCAGAGGTTTATCCTATATTTTGAGGGCACATTGCCTGATACAGACATCAAGCTGAATATTAACGTTTAAATAAATTGTCGTTTTTTTTTACAAGCTTTATGGTAACCAGTAGATATATGGTACTAAAAATCGCTAAGGATGTTCTTTGAATAATCAGGAGAAATAACATAACATTTCATTACACTACAACATAACTACCATGGGTGGTATATCCCACAAGTCATTGGTGACTATTATCCAAAATGGCTGGCATTGTTGTCATGGGAGAAAATCGACGATGCCCGTATATTCAAAACCTTCCTTAGGACATGCTCTAATTGTGTACCAACTTTCTGTTTGTATCATTAACGGCACAGTTCCCTCAAATATTTTATATATTTGAGGAAACTCACTAAACTGGTTCTCCTAGTGTAGTGTTGGTCTCGTCTCACTATCGCCACCCCAGCGATACTGTCCACCGTCCACGAGATAAGAAAGTTCAACTTGTACCAATATAAATTATTCCATTTTGCTATTTATAGAACGGTATTATTATTACGGCTTCGTGACAACATCCTCCATGAAACACACCCTTAATGATGACGGTGTTTCATTACTCACATAACTGTAGGTTAAGTTTATAATAGTCAAGTTTTCTTGTTATTGTTTACATAAAATTGAATCAATTGAAGATTAGGCATCCTAGTCTTAACCTAATCTACCTTAACATAATCGAAGGTAGCGTTAGGGTGCTTAATCATCAGGTGAAACAAGGTAGGAGGTGCTAATCTTCAGGTGATTCGTAAAACGCAATAAAGGTAACTATTTGATCCATATTTTTCTACAGTATATAATTCGTGAGGGTAGCTGCAGGTGTCACCCTCGTAATGTTACTTCCGGTATACATATAAACATCAACTCAAGCACACAGTATTATGTCATCGTATGCTTCTGTGTGCTTTCAATATCACGTAAAACATTATTTGGTGAATGATCCTCACAAAAAAATAGTAATAATTACACTGAAATACCGCAGAACTACCATCACAACGACCATTTCCATGCGATCTTGTAGGACAGTTAGGGCTCAGGCAATAAATTGTATCGTATAATTTAAGCATGCAGTATAATACATGTAGTTTATTACATAGATCCATAATGCATTAATTGTTCAGACAAGAGATAATTAATTTCTGTTCTCCATACACAACTATCTATGGCAGTGAGATCGTTCGTATGGTCGTTTTCGTGAGTTGCCAGGTAGAAGTAACTCGAGGGAGGGATGTGAAGCGGGGTGTCACCGTGGCGGGGTGTAGCTAGCAGTCTGACGAGGGTAGGATCGTGGGGTACATGTGTGAGGCCTCTGTGGTGTGGACAACCAGAGTGGCGCCGTGTGTTGACCAGCCCCCTGTGGACACCTCCTCTCTGGTCATAGGAATTAATACTGTAGTTATGGCAGGTTCGATGAAGGCTGTTTGGATAGACTCACTCGAAAGAGGTCTTGACAGCAGTATAGATCGTATAGTTGGTGCAGAAACAAGTGAACGTTCAGTGTCGGTGAACAAAGTCCGAAGTTACTCTACTTTTAAAGTGGACAAAGAGAGGAGTGTATATCAGAGTACGTCAGGCCAGGGCAAATGGCGACAAGTGGGTTCTGAGGAGTTTGTGAGGCAGGACGAGAGTACCCTGAGGCGGGTCAAGCGTGTGCTGTCTGGCCTGATGTGTGTGGGTGTCAGGGGCAATTACCAGGAGGACGACACAGAGGAGTCATGGTTGTTGGGGGAGGACACAAGCAGAAGACGTCGCCGCTCGTCGAGCCAGAGGGAACCGGAGCAACAGCAGCAGGTGAGGGGACTTTAGAGTTAAATATTGCACAGTTTTCTAGATGATGCTCCAAACAAAGTATTGGGGAAAGTTCTGTTTTCCCTCAGGATGTTCGTCAGTACCAGTGTGTAGGTTTAAGACACAATGCAAGTCAGACTTTGATTTTACTTATGCTGTAGTGTGATCTGCCTTCCCTGGCAAATGAAAAAAAAATCTGAATTAAAACAAACTAAACACATGCCATCGTACTTTGCTGCTCTAGTGGCAATCAAAAATTTCCCTTTAATAAAAAAAACACGTGTAATCGCACAATTTCCGATAACAATTACACTTAGATTATTTTGTAATGTTGGTTGTTTGCTGGTTATGTTTAGAGGAGGGTCCAACGAATTACCCAAAAGTACCCAAAAGTACCCAAATATACCCAAAAGTACCCAAATATACCCAAAAGTACCCAAATATACCCAAAAGTACCCAAATATACCCAAAAGTACCCAAATATACCCAAAAGTACCCAAATATACCCAAAAGTCCTCAAATATACCCAAAAGTCCTCAAATATACCCAAAAGTATATTAAATCAGGGTAAAATCTTAACGAATATCTGTTACACATACACAAAACATGTTTAATAATATTTTTAGTGTAATTTTGTAAAAATAATTTGTAAGATGAAATAATAAACAGCGAAAAACTTAAAGCATTGGCGAACGCGAATTTCCAAAGAGTTGGTGAGCAAGGGAGATAACTCAGATCCATCGTGATGCACTTCGCTAAGCTAACCTAACCTAACGAAAAGTAAATCCTACGGCTATGTTAAATACCCCAAAGTAACAAACATCGGTAATTATATCTCCATTTTGGATAGGTGACTCTTTGGAATTTAGCGTTTTTCGGTGTTTATTATTTCATATTTTGACTACATTTCAATGAAAACATTATTAATCAGGTTTTATTGATGTAAAACATATATTCGTTAAGATTTTACCCTGATTTAATATACTTTTGGGTACTTTTGGGTAATTCGTTGGACCGTATGGAGGATGGTGGTTGTCAATATTGATAGTTTATCTCCGCAGTCTCCGAGGGAACCTTGTTTAAAAAGTGAAAGTTTATAAATTATTTTCACTTGATTTTGTAGGTTTCTTTCCCCAGCAGATTTACTTTCTATCAGTTAAATAAAACATATTGGTAATGATGCCATGAAAAATGATCACGTGATTGACCCTCCGCCCCCAGCTTATTTAATCGTCAGGTAAAATAAGCTGGGGGCTAAACTTCAGGTGATCCAATGGTAAAGCGATATCCTAAGATCAGGTGTTTACCGAATCTTGTACCATTTTGTTTTGTTTTATCTCCTAATTTTTTGAAATGTTACAACAGTGTAATTACTAACCTTATGTGCTTAATGACCTTAGTTGTTGAAGCGCAGTAATAACATTATAACAAAAACCAATTTTTGAAGCAAATGATTTTGAGGACTCAAACATAGTCAGGTCTGATTAGTTCCTGACGTCTCTTCATAATTGGTGTGGTAACCTTAACAAACTCTGAGGTTTTGGTCACCTTGACAGGTCTCCGGGACGCGCCCGTCATACCAATTCTCTGGACTTTGAGGAGTACAAATATTACAAAGTGCAAGTCGTCAATGTGAATCATATTTGAAGGTGCCTTGCCGTTGCTCGCCTTGGTAATTGTATCAAAGTGAGCAGTGTAAATATTTCCCGGAGTTTCTTTGTACAGTATTACAACATCTTCGTGATCAGAGATGACCAAGTTGTTGGAACAGGGTGGAATATGAGTGCGTTGGCCCTATCACTGTCCATGATAACACAAGCTGAGCCAGTCGTGGCCAGACCACACCACCTCACTGGGAGGTGTAATTCGTCATCGTCAACGCTACCCTCCCACACACACACAGCACCTGTAGTGTAATAAGCGTTCCATTCTACCTAACCTGTGGAAGGAGTATAAATCAATACCCAGTTCATCTAAAAGCTTGCCCATTGTACTGGAGCAAAGTTTAGACCTATGTGAATTGTCTTGTCGGTCTTGGGTGCTTGTTGTCTGTCTGCTGTTATCTTATTCCCTGTCGTTTCTGGTGCTGAATTACTTGCCTCAGTCCTTGGTACGTGTTCGAGGTGATCAACATGAAATTTATTTTCCTCCTGGTATGTCAATGACCCAGTTGTCGCCTTCCTAATTCTTGTTCCGTGGGGCCCTGAAACCTTTGGTGATGTTTTACCCCCGACATGAACCTGTACAATACATAGATAAATCACCTCCCTGTAAGCGTGACTCCGTCGTTTTATCAAATGAATCATACAAATGGTAACTACGCAGGCGGTGGAGTTGACGTAATTTTCATCTCTCAACCACTCCTGCCCGTAGTGCCACAATTCATATTTAATTAGCTTCTCCACGTTTATTACTCCAGTCAAACCATCTGATGAATTTTCTTTTGTACTCACGTAGTGCGGCCTTACATCTGGCAACTCCATGTGGATTTCAGCCATCCGATTTCGTACGAAGATTATATTGGATTTATTATTAGTGGCACCTTGCAAGGTGACTTGACCATCTGTCCAGATATGGATCTCATTAATGATTTAGGGTAGTTAAAAGATAGCTAGCTAACCTACTACCAATAACGATTGCTAATAATTTTAATTTA